GTGACTAGCCAAACAATCCCCCGGTTGGATTGTTTCCCCTGTACCTTAGTATGGAGAGAAGTATATGTTATATTTATAGTTCTAGTTATGTATATATATATATATATATATATATGTATATGGGTTGATGAGAGTTGCATATCTTTGGGAGTAAAGTTGTGGTTTTGAGATTTGGAGATTTATTGGACTTTGGGATAATGTGTTTTGAGTATTTGGTTTATGAATTGTGAAACTGCATGCTAGAGCATTATTTTTACACGGTGGGGTTATTATGTTGTTTTAAAATGCAAACTTTATTTTTGTCCACTCACATATTTCTGTTTTGCGTCCCCCAGGCAGTAGTTGCTTTTGCAAGCGTTCGAGCAGGTTGTGAGCTCCAAACATTTCATCTGTAGATAGGACTTGTGTAAATTCCTTCTACTCAACTGTTTGTTGTAAACAAATTCTGTTAGATGCTCTGTTATCGCCCATGTTAGGTTGTTACTTGAGGCCGGATGCCACTTTATTTTGGATTGTTGTATGTTGAAAGCATGCTGGCAGTTGGGATTTATATTATGTAAATTATGCAGGTTGAATATTGTTGGGTTTGAGCATTTTACAGGGGAGACTCTGCCAAAATTTTGGTAGGATGTCTTGGGTTTTTAGTAAGTGGGCCCGGCATTGGTGTGATGTCGGCACCAAAACGGGGTCCGCCCCGGTTTCAGGGGAAATTCTGGAGCGGGTCCTGTCATTGATAGTAGATATTCTTCTCGTCTTTTACAAGAATCATGACAGATCCTGGTATTATTCATATTGGGATAAGACAATAAGCAAATAATGCATGGGGGTGCTCCAACTTTACCAATCTACATTAGTGCAAGTATAAATGTCACATCCTGGGACCGGCTCCGCCGTAGCACGATATTGTCCGCTTTGGGCCCCCCTCTCTGCCCTCACGGTTTTGTTTCTAGGAGCTCACGAGCAACTTCTCAGTGGGTCACCCATCCTGGGATTGCTCTAGCCTCTAATTCGCTTAACTTCGGAGTTCCCTCGACTCCAAAGCCAGTGAGCTCCCAAAAGGCATCGTGCTAGATGGATGCGGATGTGCACATATAAGGCACATCACCCCTTCTCCGTTGGTCGATGTGGGATCTTACAATCCACCCCCCTCAAGGGGCCGACGTCCTCGTCGGCACACTCGTACCACACGGCAGAGTGGCTCTGATACCAAGCTGACAGGACCCGCCCTGAATTTCCCGGAACCCGAGGCGAACCCTACGGACACCCCGACATCACACCCACGCCGGGTTCACTCCTTAAAACTATGTCCTCATTTACCAGGGAGGATTAAGGGCACGAGACTTTCTGCCAAAATTTCGGCAGAGTCTCCCCTGTAAATTGAACATTTCCCCAAAATTTCCACCTGCATAAAACACATTTTATAACCCAACCGGCAGCACGCACAATATAATCTCATGCAATTTACACAAATGGCCTCCGGCCTTCAAAAGATTCTTGCAGAACTGCCCACAATGTTTTTAAAATAACTTAATGTATCAAACATGCATATAATAAATTCAAAATCTATTTATGCACACCTTCACTCACTTAGTCCCCAGGACAAGCCTCAATTTAACCAAGTTTCGGGACCAACAACGAGGTCCAAACCAAACTCAATAAGACCACCTAAGTGGAGTCTAATCTGTGGCTGCACCTAGTAACTTCAGGCTGCCTACGTACCCTACTAAGGGATCAAGCCACACGTAGCTCTTTCGTATCTATCCTGACTCCTAATATCAAATAAACCATTACAGCCATACAAATTCATACCTTCTAGGATTTATTCATCACAACTCACCAAGTACAATCACAATATCTCCCCATGCGCCGGAACATTCAAAGTTATGTATGGGACCTATCCGCACGCCGGATAAACCTACGACACGTGAGAACTCATCAACATATTATAATTTTAGGACCATCCAACGGTCCCAACCTAGCGAACTCGGAAAATACGCGATATGCGATATCCGTTCGGAACTCTAACGGTATCCAAAATGAGATCCGAGCACACCTATGCGCTCGTGACATCGAGAGGATCATAGTGGGACAAAATGCCCCTCAGCTACAGTGCCCAAGCGCCGGCCGCGCGTGGGTGTCCAAAGCGATATCGCATCGCCGGAAAACTTCCAAATCGAGAACCAAAACTCCTACCCTAGGTAATACACCTAATTTGGAGTCACTTTTGTTCTTGGGCATACCCCAAAAACTGACCGGAAATGGCCAGAATCTCCCCTCGAAATCTGGCCGAAACCCAATTCGTAAATCGAGTTGCCTACGCTACAAATTGATCAATTCCTACCCAACAGGCAGCTAGAGCTCGGAAAATAGATGAGAAACCATACCTCACTTGCCGGAATCGGTGGCCGGACGACGGAGAACGAAGCCGGCGAAGTTTCGGGCGAAACCGAGCTGTTTTTTTTTTATTTTCTGGCGAAATCCTGACGGCTGGCGGCGAGACCTGGCTGGGGTAGGAAGGGGACAGCGGCTCGGCCATTTTGGTACCGGCCCCGTCAAGTTTGGTGGCCGGACGAGAGCACGGCCGGCCAAAACGTGGCCGGCTGTTCCAGCCCGGCTGTGCCAGCCGTCGCGAACCCGAGGAGAGAGAGGGAGACGCGCGGGAGAGAGAGAGAGATGGGGGCAGTTCCGTCTTTTAACCAAAAACCTATTTCAAAATATTTACGATTTTTCCACTGGTGATGTTTTGCCCGTAACTTCTTCGTTACAGCTCCGATTCGAGCCCACTACGTGTCTATGAACTCATCTCGCCGTGCTCTACGCAACGGATAAGAAAAGGACTAAAATACCCCTATCCCACGGGTAAATTCTTAATTCCACTTAAATAAATTAAAACATGGGATAAATTTGGGGTCGGGGTGTTACAATAAATTTGGGATTTAAAGACGATTCCCTTTTTAATTTCACACTAATTTCCAGAAATCTCATAGACGACCTAGTACTTGCTTGGGTTATGTATAAATCTTTCCCTTATTGCTTTTCATTATTATGTCAATAATATAGATTTTGCTTTCGGAAAACAAGAGATTAAAGAAAAAACTGCATTTCACTCCTATACTTAACAAAAGAGAAGCAAGCATATTGTTTATAAGTGACTTTTATCTGTTTGTAAAATCGCGATTTCACACAGCTCCCGTACAACCTCAGCGACTACAATGGGGAGCAATATCTAGTTCTACATACCATAATACTTAGCTTCATGCACTATCTGTATAATGCTTTTCTTGGTTTTCATTGGAAACTTTGTGAGAGAAGAACTTCCTTACACGCTGCAGCTTTTCTCGAACCTGATATCTAAATCTGAATTTCTTCACGGCATACCATTTTTCTTTGAGAGGAAATATTATGAATATGAAAAGAGCAAAAGCTGAAGAAACCCCAGTAACGAGAAATAAACCACGAAAGGTATGTACGTTTAGAGTATTGGGATCACTCGTTGTGTTGTCAAACATGGGAATTGTTCTCTTATTAAACCAGACCTTCTCCATCTCTATAAGCTTTCCCTCTTCTCTCATTCCTTGAATTTGCATTGAAATATCATGGACCAATTTCGAACCTTTAGGGAAAACCTGCATATACAAAAAAAGATGAACAACGAACTAATCAGGTTGCTTAAGTAAAGTACATGCACTTAATTGTCAGAATCAGAAATACAAGGATCAAATTGGAAAATCTTAAAAAACTACAGAAACTATAAATGTTAAGATGTTATGTGGCCAAAATATCATGCTTAATGTTGACAGGATCCGCCCCAGAATTTCCCCTGAAACCGGGGCGGACCCCGTCTTGGTGCCGACATCACACCGATGCCGGGCCCACTTATTAAAAACCCAAGACATCCTACCAAAATTTTGGCAAAGTCTCCTCTGTAAAATGCTCAAACCCAACAATATTTAACCTGCATAATTTACATAATATAAATCCCAACTGCCAGCATGCTTTTAACATACAACAATCCCAAAATGAAGTGGCCTCCGGCCTCAAGTAACAACCTAACATGGGCGATAACAGAGCATCTAACAGAATTTGTTTATAACAAACAGTTGAGTAGAAGGAATTTACACAAGTCCTATCTACGGATGAAATGTTTGGAGCTCGCAGCCTGCTCGAACGCTTCCAAAAGTAACTACTGCCTGGGGGGCGCAAAACAGAAATATGTGAGTGGACAAAAATAAAGTTTGCACTTTAAATCAACATAATAACCCCACCATGTAAAAATAATGCTCTAGCATGCAGTTTCACAATTCATAGATCAAAACTCCAACACATCCTCCCATAATCCAATAAAACTCCAAAACTCAAATCCACAACTCATTTCCCAATGATATGTAACTCTCATCAACCCGTAAACACTCATACATATATATATATAAATATATAACTATAAGCATAATATAATATATACTTCTCTCCATACTAATGTACCGGGGAAACAATCCAACCGGGGGATTGTTA